CGGAGTTATCTCCACGATCAAGTAGAGACCAGTGAAGGGGAGATGGTAAAGGAACCAAAAATGCCTTCATTCGACAGAACCAGCAGCTTCATTCCCTTCAAGTCAGAAAAGGTCCCTGTGTTGACTTGCTCAGCCAGGACAGCCAGAGACGTTAGTGAAACTAAAATCATTTCTGGATCTTCAGAGTGTGAGAGGGCAGCTGCATATGGAAGCGTGGACACCCCCACTGTTCTTGATGGAAGTGGTGTTGCAAAGATCTTGACAGAAGTTGAAACTTTAATGGATGAGAAGGTCAAAGGGTTAGATGAGATGTTTGCTTTGGAGGGATTGAGTGAGGAGAACAGAATTGTTGGTCAAAAGCTGATTTCAGTCCCAGAGGCGTCCCTGGACAGTGGTATCTTTGTTGGTATCCCAGAGTCTCAGGTTGATGCAACGGAAGGACAAGAGAAAACTGTGACTGGAGAAATGGTTCAACCTAACGTCCACAGGTTGCTCAAACCTGAACCGTTAGTCATTAGGCCCAATGTTCCAATGAACTCACCTGATCCACCAGCAAGTTGTGTTAGACAGCAGCAGGAAGGAGACGATTCAGAAGGTGTAGATGCAGTTGAAGCTGGTGGAGATTCAGCAGCAGCAGCTGGTTCTATGGAAGAAGAGGAGGTGACATTCGGTGCTGTTTACGACTACTACAACCCTCCTGCAGAATGGGGTCGACCCCTGACCCCTGAGTCGGAGATGTCCATAGAGCTCGGAAGTACTGTGAGTGAAGAAGTGGTTGAGGCAACCGAGAGGTTTTACACCCCAGGTTCTTCTACGGAGGTCTCTCTGCCAAATGCAGAGTCTCTCCACACTTTGAAGTCTTCCCACACTCCCAGTTCTGAAGCACCTGGAGGATTTATGACACCTGAGGACTTCCTTTTCTCTCCCATAGATCACAAGAGACCCTCCACAGGAAACTCCAGTGAGAAGTTCTTCTCACCAGTTCAGTTCCTGAACTCTCCTGCTGATGAAGAATTTAAGATCAATCCAACAGGAATGAACTTGGATGAAAATCAATTCCACCCCCAAGCAAGGGGTTCCTTAGGACATGCCAACCTTCAAGAGAAAGTGCAGGGAATACCCCCAGCCTTCCTCAAACCTCTCATTAAAAAAAGGGTATTTGAAAGGGAGTCCCTGAGCTTTGCTGCCGAGGTTTTTGGCCTCCCTTCTCCTGATGTTAGGTGGTTCTGCAACAAGACCCAACTGGTGGAAGATGACAGAATTAGGATAGAGAGGGATGGAGATAGCATCTCTCTTGTGGTTCACAGTGTCACTAAAGCTGATCAGGGAGAATATATCTGTGAGGCTGTCAACTATGTTGGGGAAGCTAGAAGTGTTGCTCTAGTGGTGGTTGTGTCACAGGAAGCGAGGTTCATGTTGGCGCCGCCTGCTGTCACCCATCAGCATGTGATGCTGTTTGATGTGGAGGAGAACAACAACTCTTCCCGCTCTCCATCCCCTCAGGAGATTCTTCTTGAGGTGGAACTGGACGAGAATGAGGTGAAGGAGTTTGAGAAACAGGTGAAGATCATCACAATACCAGAGTACACAGCTGATAACAAGAGCATGGTCATATCTCTGGATGTGTTACCCAGCATTTACGAGGAGGGCACTGTAGATTTTGTCACCCAGGAACACGATGATTTGAAAATAGCTTTTGAAGTCACAGAGATGCCTCCAAGATTCATCAATCCCATCTGTGACATGGAAACCCCAGAGGGCACCACTGTTATGTTTGAGTGCTCTCTGATGGGAATTCCCTCCCCAATCGTGTCCTGGTTCCGAGGTGACAAAAAGGTTCCACACAATACAAAAAAGTACCTGCACTTTTCCGATGGAGATAACCATTTTCTTAAGATCTCTAAAGTCATGCCTCAGGACAGTGGAGTTTATACCTGCAGGGCTATCAACCCTGTTGGAGAGACACTGTGCAGAGCCTCCCTGGTGGTCCTGAATGCTAAAGCCTTCTCTGGAAAGACCAGAGGTAGGGAGCTGACGGCGGTGTCGTTGGGTAGCGCCAAAGTCCAGCCACAGAAATTTGACCTGATGGTTGGCAACACATCTTTCGACGGGGAGCAGGTGTCAGAGATAGAACTGGAGTTTGAGTTTGAGCAAGAGGTGGATGAGTCACAGCGGGCAGTCCGGTTGGTGGCCAACACCGAGCAGCAAACAAGCGAACAGGGAGAGAAATACGTCAGCATTAACTTTGATGTGTTTGCTGAGCCAGCAAAGGATGAAAAGGTAGAGTTCAAAGGGAAGTCATCAGATACATGTAGCTTCCATTTCCAGGTCACGGAAATGCCCCCTAAATGTGTCATTCCCTTAAATAACATGACGGCAGCGGTAGGGACCCCCGTCATCCTCCAGTGTCTGTTCAGTGGTAAACCCAACCCCACCGCCTCCTGGTATAGGGATGGAGACCCTATCACAGACAGTAGGTGTATAATACAGGAGAAAAGTGCCGGTCATTTCAATCTGCTCATTACCAACGTGATTCAGAGTGATGCTGGTGAGTACAAATGCATCATCCAGAACTCAGCTGGGCGCACAGAAACTGCTGCGCTACTCAAGGTGTTCTAGAGGTCAGGCTGCAGAGAAAAACCTCACCTTTCACAGTTTAGCTTCAAAGTCCGTATCAGAGTTTGCCTTAACTTTACCAGGATTTTATCGTTGGCCTCGTCTCCCTCTGGGAAGAGACGATGACTCCTGGAATGAGTCTGAAAGGTTTTTGTGTTTTTGTGTGTTGGACTGAAGTGATGAGTCTGGATCATCTGTGATTAAAATCACATAACATCAAGCCATTCACTACATTTGTACTTGTTTCTGTTTGTTACATAAAAGCTGAACCAACAATTTTTTTTCTTTGGAATCTATGATTAAATTCTTGTGGTTTTTATTCTTCCATGTGACTCAGTTAATGTTAATGTGAAGTTTCATTTAATTTGATTTTAGGGGAGTTAGGGTCATAGCTGCTGCATGAGACGTAAGGAGGCTTTAATCAGATAAAACCTCTGAATGGGCTCGTTCCCAGTGAGAGTTGAACTCCGCCAAGGCTGCCCTTTGTCACCGATTCTGTTCATAGCCTTTATGGAAAGGATTTCTAGGCACAGCCAAGGTGTGGAGGGCATCCGTTTTGGTGGCCTCAGGATCAAGTCTCGGCTTTTTGCAGATGATGTGGTCCTGTTGGCTTCATCAGAACGTGATCTTCAGCTTTCGCTGGAGCAGTTCACAGCCAAGTGTGAAGCAGCTGGGATGAGAATCAGCTCCTCTAAATCTGAGACCACGGTCTTGAGTCAGAAAATGGTAGAATGCCTTCTCCAGGTCAGTGATGAGATCCTGCCCCATGAGGAGGAGTTTAAGTATCTCGGGGTCTTGTTCACCAATGAGGGAAAACTGGAGCGTGAGATAGATAGGCTGATTGGTGCTGCATCTGCAGTGATGTGGGCGTTGTACCGGTCTGTCGTGGTGGAGAGAGAGCTGAGTCAGAAGGCGAAGCTCTCAATTTATCGATCGATCTACGTTCCTACCCTCACCTATGGTCATGAGCTTTGGGTAGTGACCGAAAGAACGAGATCACGGATACAAGCGGCCGAAATGAGTTTTCTCCGAAGAGTGGCTGGGCTCTCCCTTAGGGATAGGGCGAGAAGCTCGGTCATTCGGTGGGGGCTCAGAGTAGACCCGCTGCTCCTCCACATCGAGAGGAGCCAGTTAAGGTGGCTCGGGCATCTGGTCAGGATGCCTCCTGGACACCTCTCTGGTGAGGTTTTCCGGGCACGTCCAACCGGGAGGAGACCTAAAGATAGACCCAGACGGTGGAAGGACTATGTCTCTCACCTGGCCAGGGAACACCTTGTGATTCACCTGGAGGAGCTGGCCCAAGTGGCTGGGGAGAGGGAAGTCTGGGCCTCTCGCCTTAGGCTACTGCCCCCGCGAACCGACTCCGGATAAGCGGAATGAAAATAGATGGATGGAACCTCTGAATGTGCAGCAGATATAAAAACACCCCCAGTTATAATAATAATAATAATATTAGTAGTAATGAATTTTATTTATAATGCTTTTTATATCGAGATCTCAAAGGGCTACAGGCAAGCAAAAACAGTTGTGACTTTAAACCAAACTAATCACAAATGCTTAAATGTTTGATTTACAATGAAATATTCAGAAAAACAACAGATAATTACTGTTTGGATTTAATCTAAACTCTAAGTATGTGGTTTTAATTATAATGAATGAAATAAAATTGCTCCATTAGTTGGTTCCAGCTCTGAATCAGAATAAACCCAAAACCTGCCATCAATCACTTGATCTGGTTGTTTGTTTTACTGACTTAATAGTTTTGTTTGAGTCTTTAAACTGATTAAGAAAATAGTAAAAGATTCACAAAACAGTTTCTATTAAAAACAACTAAAACTGTGAAACTTTTTAAATGTATGTTTGAATGTTTTGTAAATATGTGTAATTGCAGAAATGAATGAGTTGGACAAAAACAGGAATTACCTGGTGTTAAGCAGAATATTGAAGGTTTATTTCTACAGAAAAAGTGTTGCTTTGTCTCAGAGTTTATATAATAAAATATTTCATGACAAAGTTCAAGTCTGGGTGTTCTTCTTTCAGAGTGGTCCATCATTAATGAAATGATTCAATAATCTTTTGACGTTTTCTATAAATAAAACTTTCTTAAGTCATCAGTTAGCTAGGAAATGTTCAGATTTCAGCTCATTTTTGCAGTCATAAATGTACTTTTTCTTGAATATTTTATGTTTTATAAACCTAAAGATACCGGACAGGCCCCCAACTGTGCCAGATATGACACACAGATCCATCTGAGATAATCATATTCGCACTTGTAGGGAACCCCTCTAGAAGACCTATGTGATGAAACTAAGCTGGCAACTGTTAAACTGGTAGTTTTTAGGTTCTGGACTGTTTGATCAGTGTTGCTCAATATTTTCCGACAGAGCATTCTAGCACCACCATCACCACTGTGGAAGAACAAGAGGAAACCCACTACACTGGTGTCCAGTTACAACAGAAAACTAAAACACTTGAACTCAAGCCAGAGGCCAAACGTTACTCCTCCACCTTAGAGAAGAAGAAAGAAAAGCCAGTTTTCCTTAGCCAGATGTCCCCAGCAGCAGTAAGCCCAGGAGAAATGGCCAGGTTCACTGTTAGAGTCTCTGGGCTTCCAAAGCCAACAGTTCAATGGTGTCATAATGGTAGGGCCATCACAACCTCCTCTGTGTTCAAGCTGATTGAAGAGAAGGAGGAGTACACGCTGGTGATCACCAAGGTCACATCTGAATACAAGGGCGAGTATTCATGCACAGCCACCAATAGGTTTGGCCAGACAACGTGCACCACGTACCTGGAGGTGAAAACGCCTGACATCAGCCAGGCAGAGAAGTGGGTGGAAAAGATGTTTAAAGTCACAGGTCAGCCGCCCACCTTCATGGTTCAGATCCAACCTGTGAAGTGCTCAGAGAGAGGAGAAGTTTCATTCAGCTATGAGGCCAGAGGTGATCCAGTTCCTGATGTCAAATGGTTCAAGGGGGCTTTCCAAATCCAGCCCAGTAGAAACTGTAGCATCATAGCCAATCCTGATGGGTCAGGTCAGATTAGAATTAGGAGTGTTAAACAGGAGGACACTGGGCTGTACACCTGTAAAGCTTCCAACCCATTTGGAGAGGCCACCTGTAGTGCTGAGCTTGTTGTTTTTAGAGACCCGATGTTTGTTTCCCACAAAGAACAGCTAACGATGGCTCAGAAGAAGGTGTCAGTGTCAGAACAGGCAACAGAGTCCCGACTATACCAGGTCAGCCTCCCAGGCCAGGACAGAGCCAGGTCAGACCAGATGGTTTACACAATTGGCACAGAAGACCGGAAAATCATTCAGAGCGAGCAGGTGGGTTCTCTCCAGGAAGTCAACATATCTGCTGCTATTGTCCACTGTGAGAAGATGACCCACCAGGCAGCAGTTCTTCAGACTCATGAGGTGGAGGAGAGGGTATCTGAAGTTCCCACTCACCCACCTCAGGCGTCAGCTGTTCCTGGGAAACAGATTCACACGGCAGCATTTACTTCATCTGTGGAGGAGAGTCAGGGTCTAACAGAGCAGCACTGTGATCGGATTAAGAGTCCTGAGGTCATTCAATTGCAGGCGTTGAAAGAGAAAAGGTCAAAGGTCATGTCTGCCATTGGTGAGGAGCTCATCCCTATTTCTACTGTCAGTACAGAGCTTCTGACTGAAAGGGAGTGTTCCACCATCAAACCCACCTCTGAGCCCAAACACCTTGTCAGTGGACACCAGGTTGAGTGTCAGCTACCCATCATGAAGGAGCAGTTTGAGGATATTTCCACATCACAAGAAAAGGGCTACAAGGTTAAGGAGGGTGTTAAGATTTTATATTCAGCCCAGTCTGCTGAGAATTGCGTGCTAGAAGAAGGCCACACAGACAGACTAGCAACAGCAGAGTCTGCTGTTAAGTCTACCATTAGTAAGGAACAGCAGCTTGTAGTAGCCTCAGTCAGTGAGTCCAAACAAACTCTCTCCAAGGAAATCAGGTTCTCCATAGAAAGGCCTGCAGAAAAAGCAGCCCAGCTCTGTATGGATGACATGAAAAAGGCAGCTTTAACTGCTGAAGAGAAATTGATGCTCCAGGCTGAATCAGTGCAGCAGCTGCCAACCCTGGACAGTGCTGTGTCTATCAAGTCACATGCAGAAGGAGAGCAGGTGCTGCACCTGCAGGTCATCACAGACCAGGACCTCCTTCCATCTGAGAAGAGCTTCACCTGTGAGAAACCAGCACCAGAGAACGCCAGCACCAGGAAGATTCACACTCTGCTGCACTCTGTCAGTCAGGATGAGCAGAGGACCATCGTTTGTGAGGACACTTCAGAGTTTGAGGCCAAAGCCAGCTCAATGGTCATTCAGCCCCAGAAGGTGTCTCCGACCATGTTACACCTTCAGGCAACCCAGTCTTTAGAGGTTCTGCCCAAAGAGGGAATTCTTGCTGTGGAAACACCTGATCAGCAGGTGGCATTACAGAAAAAGGAGAAATCAAGGAGTCATGCAGCTGTTTCAGAAGAGAGGAAACAGCTAACAGCAGATTACCATGAAGATTTGGATCTGTCTGTGACTGGACTTCAGTCTAACCTTCGGATTGAGCCCAAACCTCAAAACATCCTTCAACTTTCCTACCAGCCCATGCAGCTGCCTAAAGAGACTCCCATTACCGATGATTTTAAGCAGCAGCGAGCTTTAGTTCAGAAGGAGGACCACTGGAATGTGCTGCATGTCACTAGTGTAGCTGAAAGTCAGAGCTTGGAAGAAGGTCACACAGAGAGTTTGCCAAGTGTGGACACATTCAGCTGTGTGGCAGCTTTAGAGCAAAAAGTTCCCATTAAACCAGTCCACATAGAGGAGAAGGAAATCTCTACTGAGAGCAGTATCTCTCTGGAAGCAGCTGAGCAAGACTTTGCTGTTCAGATCCAGGAGGGTCAGACAGTCAGACAGTCAATAGTAATGGACGAGAAGCAAGTTATGACAGGGGAACTCTCTCAAGAGATTTCTAAGTCTGAGTCTACCCGAGTAACAGTCAGGACTCAGCCAAAACTGTCCTTCATGGCATCAGAGGCCAAAGAGAGCACAGCGTTTCCCAAAGAGATGGCCTTTGTGATTCAGATCCCTAAATTATCCAGTTTGAACATCCGGCATCAGCTCAGAGAGGCTCTTCAATTGGCTGTGGCCACTGACCAGCCCGTTCTACTGGCCGATGTTGTTGGACAGCTACGGGCTGTAGGGGTTCAAGAAACCAAAGTTCTACGAGAACCCAAACGGCTCATGTTCACATACTTGATCACAACAACAAGCTCCCCGATTGAGATCACTCTGACTTTTGAAGGGGAATACCCTCAAACAGCTGACCTCAGAACTGAACTAAGAGCAGCTTTTCACTCCATGGTGTACCAGGAAGCCCACGTTCTTACCTTGGAGCAGCCTGGCACTGTTCAGTTAGACCAACCTCAGCGAGCCCAAGTCACCTCAGCGAGGTCCAAACAGGTGCTGTCCTCCATGGTTGAGACCGTGGGCATGGCAGAGACTGCTGCAGACATTACAGCCTTGAAATCTCAGGCTGCTGCACTGAAGACAGAGTCTGAGATCACAGTTGAGTGTGCTGCTGCAGAGAAACCAATGATGGTGCAAGAACGCAAGGATGCAACGATGGATTGGTCAATCTCCACCCAAACTAAAGAGGCTCAGTCGCTGCAGGTATCAAAGTCTGTAGTCATAGAAAGCAGAGAGAAACATGAAGCAGCAGCTTCGGTTACAACTGTTTCTAGCAAACTAACAGAAGCTGTTAGCATCCAGCAGAAGCACAGGGATGAAATCTTCAAAGAGGAGATACATGTAGCCAGGCCTGAGCAAAGAGAATGTCCTGAAATTGTCACCTCCTTAAAGGATGTATCTGTTGAAGAAGGTAGTGAGGTAACCTTTAGCACCACCATTAGGTATGTCACTAAGGTCAACTGGTTTTTCAACGGACAGATAGTGAAAACTGGCAATGAGTTCAAGTGTTCCAGAGACAGTGACACATACTCACTGATTATCACCAACGTTGTGAAGGAGAGGCACCAAGGAGAGTATGTTTGTGAAGCTGAGAACAAAGCTGGCAGGACAACAACATCATCAAGACTCAGTGTGGTCTCAAGAGGTTTGATTTTAGACATTTCTCGTCATCACTGATTCATTCATCCATCTTCTAATAATCCACACCAACAGATCACTTTGGTTTGTGAATCCATTCCATGGCTCAGCATGAGCACCTTCAGCACTTGATGGTACTAACTCACCACCTTTTCTTTGTTTCACATCATTTCTTGATCAACATGGCCTAAAGACCAGAGCCATCACAGCCTAGTTCATCAGTAGCTTGTGAGGTTAATAAAGATCTGATGGTATTGGTTGTCATGACGCTAGTCTTCGTGGTCTCTTAATGATCAATTTTGCATGCCACAGGGAACAGGTTCCGAGTCACATCCCTTCAGATCCATTTTCTTCTCATCGCCAGAGTTCTCTTTATGCATGTTTTAGATCCTTAAGTCTGCTTTGCTTCATGTTCTCAGTCTTTGTTCCTCCTCTTGTCAGCTGGAACCCTAGCCCCATGAACACCTTCTTCAGGCAGCTCTCTGTGAAACCATGGGGCTAATGTTCTTGCTCTTTTTCTCCCCACAGTCTCTCATTTCATTCCTACACCACTGCTGTACTTGCTGCCATTTGTGCTCCTGAATTGTCAGTTTTGTGTAGACCACAGCAGTAATGGTTGCCATAACTAATGATTGTCTTCCTTTGTCTTTGTGTGCCTCAGTTCCGCCTGTTTTCAAGCAAAAAATCAACCCAGTGGACATCAACGCTGGTGACCAGGCAAAGTTCGTGTGCGAGACAGAAGAGGCACCCAATGTGACCTTCAAATGGTACAAGTCTGGTATTGAAATCCGACAGAGTGACAAGCATCGCATCAGCAGCCACTACACCGGTTCCACTCTGGAGCTGCTGAAGCCAGGAAAGGATGACAGTGGTGAATACACCTGCAAGGCTTCAAACCAGCATGGCACGGACAGTTGCTCCGCGTCTCTTAACGTAACTGGTAAGATCCCAGTGGGAATACTTGTGTGTTTATGTTTGTGTCTGAGGAAGAGAGAGAATTATATCCAGGCTGTGTTTTATCCTGACTGCTCATAGCGCAGCTCGGACTGTTGGGTTCTCATGGTTAACTCCACACTCCTGTTCCAATTGAGTTGTTTGGGTTGGTTTAATGCTGGCATTTCCTTACCAAGTGTAAACCCTACTTTATGTTCTGCCTGCTCTCCATAGAGATGTACCCGCCAGTATTTGTTTCTAAACCAGATCCAGTGACTGTATTTGTGGGCAAACAAGCAGTTCTCCAATGTTCATTCACTGGATCTTCTCCCATGGAGGTTGTCTGGCACAAGGACAACATCGCCATCTCCTCTGAAGGAAACTGTGTTATAAAGTGTGAAAAGAACAAGTGTTCACTTCACATAAAGAATATTGAATTGAATCATCAGGGAGTGTACCTGTGCAAGGCCTCCAACAGCGTTGGCATGGCTACTTTCACCACACGGATCAGAGTCATTAAAAAGCCCAACTTTGTTAAGAGCGTTGAGTCAGTTTCAGCTGCTGTCAATGACCTACTAAGGCTGGAGTGTCAGGTGGACGAGGACACTGGTGTGACCGTCACCTGGACCAGGGATGGCAAAAAGGTCCACCAGAGCATGGACTGTAGGCTTTCTTTTGAGGACAAGATGGCTGTTCTTGAGATTCCAAAGTCCAAGCAGAAAGACTCTGGAACATATTTGTGCACAGCCACTAATGAGGCTGGAAGCTCATCCTGTCAGGCTGTGGTAACAGTTCAAGGTAAGACCTTCCAGGTGATCTCCAGTCTTAGTTTGGATGAAATCCTCTGTAGATGTAACCTGGTGTTTAAAGCTTTAAGCTACTAACACTCCATGTAGGTGTCTTTCTTGTACTCTTGTGTGTTGTCTCTGAATGTCTTCTGTTTGTCTCAAGCACTCTTCCTAAGTCTGCTGACCTTCTTCCAGAGCCTCCTGCTTTTGTGAGGAAAATGGAGCCTCAGATTACCTGGAAACAAGGTGCGGCTGCACGCTTACAGTGCACCATTAAAGGATCGCCCGAGCTTCACATCCACTGGTACTGGAACGAGCAAGAGCTTAGCAACGGAGTCAAATATAAAATCACCTTTAAAAATGGAGCAGCCTCTTTGGAGATCCTGGACCTTCTGGTTACAGACAGTGGCACCTACACATGTGAGGTGTCTAATAATGCTGGTAGTGATAGCTGCAGCACCATTGTAGCTGTTAAAGGTGTGTCTTGAGTCACATTTACAACACACATGTTCAGGCACTCTGATAATAACTGGAATCTTTTGACATCCAGAGCCTCCATCCATTAGAAAGGATCTACAGACTGTAGAAGCTGTGAAGGGATCTGTAGCTCAGCTGGAGTGTGAAGTTGCAGGAACAGCTCCTTTTGAAATCAGCTGGCTAAAAAACAAAAAACCCATCACAAGTGATCAGAAGTATAAAGTGATCTTCCAGGATTCCCTATCAAGGCTGGAGGTCCAGACCTTTGAGAGTGCAGATGTCGGAGATTATCAGTGTGTTATATCCAACGATGTGGGGAAAGTCAGCACCAAAGCCTCCGCTAAGCTGAAAGGTTAGTGGACCTCTTATAGGGCCCACCTAGCATCCACCTGAGAATCACGAGGCCTACGTTTACCTGCATTGGCGGACCATAACACCTGCTTAGATGGGAAACTAAAGGTTCTTAATAGTCAGCTGCACACATCAAACATGCAAAAGTCAATTATGTTATCTAAGTCTCATTATCAAAAGATCATTGATCAAGTATGACTTCAAGTCCTTGACTTCCCTGAAACTGAGCAGAAAAATACGGATTAGAATTGATCATGTTTGTGTCCGCTGGTTGAAGATTTGAGGTTCTCCCTGTGAAACTTTATTACTAAAGCAGGAACTCCTCCTCCAGCCTCCATGTGTAGAGACTCCAGGCTGTTGGAACTTTGTGATCTTCTTAAACAGGTCTTACCTTCTCGGTGGCCTGGTGGTAGGAATGTCCGCCATGGGACTGGGAGATGGTGGGTTCAAATACCAGTTGGGTCATATCAAAGACCCTCGCTTGACACTCAGCATTAAAGGGTTGGATTGGGGGTTTCAAACACCAAAGAGTTCCTGAGCACGGCCACAGCTGCAGCTCACCGCTCCCCTTGGGGATGCGTCAAAAGTATGTGATGATGAGTAATGGGACTTTAACTTTCTCACCAAAACTGACATGCTTCCACATATCTACATGTCACGTCGTCCTCTGATGTGGTTTTTGGTTGCTCCAGAACAGAACAACATAATCAGACTGTGCTCACAGTGCAGACCTCCATGCAGGATGGAAGCATGCTGACGTTACTGACCAGGCACTGTAGGTGAGGTTTTACATAATTCCTCAGGTTTTAACCACTAACGTGTTCTTGTAGAACCACCAACCTTCTCAAAGAGAGTTGAAAGTGTCACCGCAGTGTTGGGAAACTCTGTCAAACTACAAGGAACCATAAAGGGTTCAGCTCCCATTGCTGTGCAGTGGAAGAAGGACTCTGAAATTCTCAGAGATGATGATCCAAACATCAAGATAGTGTTTGAGAACAATGTTGCCAGCCTGTCCATAATGGCAGTGGCCATCAGCCACGGAGGGAAGTATTCCTGCCTGGCAGAAAATCAGGCTGGGCAACAAAAATGTGAAGCCACCCTGACTGTTCAAGGTCAGCAGAAGTCTTGATTTATGTCTCACCCTAAAGGTTCACATCTCTTCCTTTTATTAACCATCACTCTTTCTGACACCAGAACCTGCCAAGATTGTAGAACCTGCAGAGTCCATAAGTGTGACTGCAGGGGACTCGGCCTCATTGGAGTGCGTGATTTCAGGAAGCCCGGACCTGAAAGTCAAGTGGTTTAAAGATGGGAAGGAGATGATCAGTGGGCGCAAATACAAGATGACCCTAAAGGATAACTTGGCTGCTATGAAGATCCTGACTGCAGAGAAAGGAGACACCTCAGAGTACAAGATGGAGGTGTCCAATAAAGTTGGGAAGGACCAGTGCACATGCTCAGTAACAGTCCTAGGTTAGAACGTGCATGTGATCATACCAAACCAGCTAGCTGATCTGACTGATGCAGGTTGTTGAGGGGAGCTGGAGCTCAGCTGTTTGTAGAAGTTTGTTCCACTTTAATCATCTTTTTATTTTTAACTTCTAACATGTAAACAAACAAACCTGTGAGTAAAGCCAGAGTGTTGAGTGTTCCTGAGTTCAGATGAGTGGTTCTCTTCTAAAGCAGAACAAATCTGTATTAATGAACAAGGTGCTTTTTCTTCAACAACCAGATCGAATCATGCCCCCAACTTTCACCAAGTCTTTGAAACGAGTCGACGGAGCCATTGGGACTGACGCATCCATGGACTGCAGGGTGTCTGGGTCCCAACCCATGACGATATCTTGGTTTAAAGATGACCAGGAAGTAGAATCTGGAGCTAAGTTCAAGCCTGGGTTCAAGGACGGCTCTGCTACACTGAGAATCTGTCAGCTGGAGAAACCCGACTCGGGAGTTTACAAATGCAAAGCCTCCAACTCGGCCGGCTTTAAAGAAACCAGCAGCACGCTCTATGTCAAAGGTCATGAGTGTTTGTTTTACTTGTCTTTTGTTTTCCCTTTTCATGAATTTGTGTTAACACGAAGTGAATATGTTCTGTCAATGGCCTCCAGAGCCCCCCACGCTTACAGAGAAAGCAGACAACCAGGAAGTGATACCAGGAGCCAAAGTTTCCTTCCGAGTAGCCTTCACTGGCACTGCTCCTCTGGTTGTTAAGTGGTTCAAAGAGGAGAAGGAGATCCTAACTGGAGGCCTTTACTTCATAAAGAAAGATGCCTCTTCCAGCTCGTTAGAGCTTCACTCAGTAAAACCCAGCGACTCCTCCAAATACACATGCCAGGTGTCCAACGATGCTGGGAAGGTGGACTGCACCGCAGTCCTCTTTGTGAAAGGTGCTTGTCATCAGAGTCATGTGAAGCTGCATGAACATGTGAAACTAGCATGTCTTCTGTTCAGTAATACGCTTTAACCTCTTCTCTCAGAGCCCCCCGTGTTTGTGAGGAAGCTGAACGCAACCAGGCTCATCACTAGAGGCAACTCCACCCGTCTGGAGTGCAAAGTGACGGGCAGCCCCGTCATCAGCTTCAGATGGTTTAAGAATGAGACGGAGATCAGCTGTAGTCCTAAATACACCATCAGAACGACTGATGTAGAGTCGGTTCTAGAGATAGCCGAGTGTTTGGTGGAGGATTGTGGAGATTATGTATGTGTGGCATCGAGTGAAGCAGGAAGTGATCGCTGCAGCTGCACAGTCACTGTGAAAGGTTTGTTTATGGTTCATGGTGTTGTAATCTCCCAGTTGACTAACCCTCCACCTGGATAACTTTGTAGACTCTTTGTCACTGATCTGCTGACTGCTGTCTTCTAGAACCTCCAGAGTTTGTACGAAGCTTGGAGCCCAGAGATGTGGTGAAGGGTTCGGAGATGATTTTGGAGTGTCAGTTGACTGGCTCCGCCCCTTTCACTGTGTTCTTCTATAAAAACTCTAAAGTGATAAGAAATGACAAAAGGCACCGTATCACAGTGAAGGAGGGCCTGGTGGCCCTGCAGGTTTTGGGGGTGGAGGCAGCAGATGTTGGCTTATATCAGATCACCGTGGAGAATGAAGTGGGCCGCTCATCCTGTGAATGTCACGTAACGCTGAAAGGTTGGTGCTGCTAACTGATGATTTACGTCTGCTGATCACACATGTAGAAGGTCAGCTCCAGATGAAACGTTGAACATCCTGTTCCATCTTGCCCTTGCAGAACCACCATCGTTTGTCAGGAAGCTGGAGAACCTTAGTTCTCTGGTGGGTAGCGACATTTCTCTGCAGTGTCTTCTGAAGGGATCTGAGCCCATTACTGTGACCTGGCTCAAAGACAACCATGAGCTCAGAGAGACTGAACATGTTCAGATCTCATACAAGAACAGGACTGCTGGGCTGTTCATCAGCAGCTTACAGAGTCAGCATGGAGGCAAATACTCGTGTCAGGTTGTGAACCAGGCCGGCAGCCAGATCTGCTCAGCTGTGCTGACGGTCAAAGGTCAGTCGGACTTCCTGTAAACCTGCTGTTATCACCTGTAGAGTCACACATGTAGGAGTTATGGGTCTGGTGTGTAACAGTGAACGGATGTCTCATCAGCAGGTCCTCCTACTGTTAGATTACTGCCAGAGAAAGGCAGCAGAAGAAAAGTCGTGTTTGTATGGCAACAACATATTTTAATTGATCAACATATGTTGATGTCACAGGCTACCCACAATGCATCACATGACATGGTCTCGTCTGAGAAAAGTCTTAAAAAAGCGACCAATGATTGTTTGAGAAAGTGGGTGCCAAAGATTTATGGTTGGTAAATTATAATTCATAGATACCTTAAATCCTCTAATACAGGCCCGGGCCTTTATTTACTCAAGTGCATCCTGGTTCAGGCCTTTATTGGAGGGAGGCCAGAATTAGAGGCATGTCTCAGTTTCAGTTTGAGCAAAATAAACTACCAGTAGAATGAATAAAAACAAGATTTTGTGTCTATTTGAACCTATAACAATGAGGTTTATTGAAAATGTACGGTTCACTCTGCTCCTTCTGCATGGACCATGCTGCAGGAAAACTGGAAATTAACCCAGTTTATCTCCTTAAATACATTTAAAACCAGACTGAGACAAGGACTCTAGAAAGCGACACATCAAACACAGACCATTTACCAATTAATTACACAAATAAAGTTAAATCATGAACGGCAGGTGCAGCATAAGGGGCAATCACTCAGAGGTCATCAAGGCTGACCTTTATTAACACCTGTGGACAACATGTTTAAATATTGAAACATCTAAACCTGGTGATGCTGTGGTCTAGAAGCAGAAGGTGTCTCCTGTTTGAAGGCATCCAGGTGTTTCTGTACCTGCTCTGTGGCTTCCATGAAACCTGGTGGTTGTTGGTTGAGGTGGTAGAGTTGGAGGTTTGTCCTTTTAGCAGTCTATGGGAGTCAAAGTGGTGAAGGAGAAGCAGAGCATTACCTCTCTAGGTGGTGGAGAGGGCTGCTACATCTACCTTCACCACTAGGTGTCAGTAAACGTTGCACACTGTTCCCTTTAACACCTGACTGACCACTCCCCACCTGGGACCTCCAGCCTACAGGTGTGAGGGTTGTGAGGACCAGGTCTTTAGGTGTGACCCTACAGGCAGACCTTGCTTAGTGTCTTTACCGTGATTGTTCCTTGCTGATGTGTTCTCCCGACGTCTCAGAACCAGCTAAGGTCACCGAGGAGGCCAAGACCATCAGTGTGACTCAAGGGGACCCGGCCACACTGGAGGTCCATTTCTCTGGCACTAAACCGCTGAAGGCCAGGTGGCTTAAGGCTGGCAAGGAGGTGACCTCTGGCCAGAGGTTAAAAATACAGAGCTCAGACAGCAGCTCTGTGCTGAAGCTGATCAAAACAGAGAAAAGCGACAGCGGCCAATTCACCTTTGAGGTTTCAAATGATGTTGGTCAAAGTTCTTGTGAAGCTACGCTCACGGTTCTTGGTCAGTTCTTCATGATTCAGGTGGAGTTACAGTTAGAGTTGTCATGTTGCTCATGCATGTTTTCCTTTTGTCCGTGTTAGATCAAGTGTTTCCTCCCTCCTTTACGAGAAAGCTGAAGCCAACAGAAGGTATCCGAGGATCATTTGCTCACCTGGACTGCCTCGTGTCCGGCTCGCTGCCCATAAATGTCTTCTGGTACAAAGACGAGATGGAGATCCAGCCTGGTGACAAACACAAACCCACGTTCTTTGAGAATGTTGCTTGTCTGGAAGTCTTTGATCTTACCATCAAAGATGGTGGCAGCTACACCTGCATCGCTAAAAACAAGGCGGGAATAGCGCAGTGCTCTGGGATCCTGCTGGTTAAAGGTCCGAACACAGGGGGTGGAGAAGAAGGAGTATAATTGGACCGGTGTGGCTAAAACGGTTTGTTTCTCTTTCAGAGCCACCGTGCATTCTAGAAAAACCTGAATCCCTGAATGTTCTGCCGGGCTCAAAGGTCCAGTTTAACGTTCTGGTTTCTGGCACACCTCCGCTGACCATTCGGTGGTTCAAAGACAAGAGGGAGATATTGTCCAGTGCCGACTGCTCTGTAGCAAAAGACCAGACCTCCAGCTCGCTGGAGCTCTTCTTCTGTAAAACATCAGATTCTGGAGAATATGTGTGTGAGGTCCAGAACGATGTGGGCTCCACTTCCTGTCAGGCAGCGCTCTTCGTCAAAGGTCTCTCTTTATTTAATTTATCTTCAGTGGTTTCAGAGCCACGGGACATTTAAAGCTGGAAAATGACAGCACACATTTATGAAAACCATAAAAATAAACCCGTTTCTCTTGTCCATCAGAACCTCCCAAGTTCACACGGATCCCGGCCCGCGTGTCTGTTGTACGCCCAGGTCAGAGTAAAGCTTTTGAGTGTCAGGTGACCGGCACGCCTGAGATAGACATCTACTGGTTCAAGGATGGTTCTGAACTTGGTGCCAGCGACCGCTACAGGATGTCCTTCCTGAACTCAGTAGCTTCTCTGGAGGTCTGTGGGGCCGAGCTCAAAGACGGAGGCCTTTACTACTGCGAGGCGCGGAATGAGGCCGGCAGCGAGAGCTGCAGCATGGAGCTGAAGGTCGAAGGTCAGTGTTCAGGAGCAATCTGTCTGGAGCCGGTTAATGAGCTTTAGTGACGTTTGTGTCCTCTTGCCTCAGAGCCGCCATTTTTCCTCACTAAGCTATCTCCAGCTGACGTGGTCAAAGGCTCCAGCGCCTTTTTACAGTGCCAAGTTGTCGGTACGAGTCCGTTTGAGGTAACGTGGCTCAAAGATGGGAAGGAGCTGAAAGCCAGTTCTAAACATGGCTTCTCCCGCACCAACAATGCTTTGGGCCTGGAGGTGCACAGGTGTGATTCTGCAGATGTTGGTGAATACCAGGTGACTGTAGCAGGCAGGGTGGGAAGCTGCACCTGCAGGGCAGCACTTACCCTTAAAGGTCGGTCCAGTCAGAACCACAAACCCGCCTCATCCATCTCCTGAGGTGAAACCTGAACATCTCGCTCTGTTTATCTGACAGAACCGCCCACGTTCACCAGACGATTAGAGAACAGCGTCACAGTTCTGGGTCAAACGGCGGAGTTTCAGTGTGCAGTGACGGGCTCGGCCACCCTGTCCGTCCAGTGGCAGAAGGACCAGAACTGGATCTTGGAAGATCCAAAATTTGAGAGAACATTTGAGAACAACGTGGCGACTCTGAGGATCCCTGCCTGTGAAGTGACTCACGGTGGTAGATACACCTGTCAGGTGATGAACGAGGCTGGACAGGAGAAAAGTTCTGCTATTCTGACGGTGCAAGGTAACCAGTGGACCATCAGAACCAGCTATAGCTGCTTAGGAACTTTCTCAGATATTTGCTTTGCTTTGTAGAGCCTCCTCAGATTGTAGAGAAACCCGAGGAGATGAAAGTCACTATTGGAGATCCGGTTAGTCTGGACTGTAAGGTGAAAGGCTCACCTGAGCTGAAGGTGAGGTGGATGAAAGATGGTAAGGAGCTTCAGTCCATGCGGCAGTACAAGCTGCTGTTTGAGAAGAACATCAGCAGCCTGAAGATCCAGGCTGCTCAGGCTGCAGATGAAGGAGAGTACCTGTTTGAGGTGTGGAACCACATCAGCAGCTGTTCTTGCAGTGTCAGGGTGGTGGTCTTAGGTTGGTCCCTCAAACACGGTTGCCGTGGAGACACGCTGACAGGCTGGTAACTCTTACTGGTGTTTTTGTAACAGAACAAGTGATCGCCCCGAGCTTCACCAGACCTCTGGTAGACCTGCAGGAGGTTCTGGGCTCCTTCGTTCAGCTATGCTGTAAAATATCAGGTTCGCTCCCCATTTCTGTGGAGTGGCAGAAGGACGGGAGGAGAATTTCCAGTGGAGTCAAACACAAACTCCTCCAGCAGGACAACTCCGTGTCCCTGGAGATGGAACAGCTGGAGTTATCTGATGCAGGTTCCTATTCCTGCAGACTGACCAATGAAGCGGGAAGCTGTGAGTGTAGAGGATCCCTCAGGGTCAAAGGTCAGATGACACTCTTCTGCTCCATGTAGCATTGAACGGAGGTGAGTATCTCCATGACCTGGTTTGTTTGCTGTGTTCAGAACCTCCCAGCTTTGTGGCACTGCCAGAGTCTCAGGTGGCACTGCCCAATGCCGCCGTCCGCTTCAGGAGCTCCTTCAAGGGCACGCCCCCCTTCACCGTGCGCTGGTTCAAGGAGAACTCGGAGCTCATGACCGGACCCGGCTGCTTCACGGGGGAGGACGGAACCTCCTGCTTCTTAGAACTGCACTCAGTGTCCGTGTCTCAGAGCGGAGTTTACTCCTGCCAAGTCAGCAACGAAGCTGGCTCTGTCCGCTGTAGCGCCAATCTCAGGGTCAAAGGTTGGACTCTTCTCTTGATGGCTTCATTCATCTATGTCAGCTTCAGTTTCATCAGCTGCTATCTCATCATCTCCACCTGTTCACTGACTTCTCCCCTCTGTAATAAGTACCTGTCTGGTTCTGGCTGCTGATCTTCTGTGTTTTGGTTTTCCAGAACCTCCAGAGTTTGTGACGAAACTCCCCTTCACTAAGTGTGTGAGGCGGGGTGAGGCGCTCCGTCTGGAGTGCAAAGTCAGCGGCTCCACCCCTCTGAAGACCACCTGGTACAAGCAGGACACCAGGGTCTCAGAGGGGCCCACCTGCAGGACTGGGTTTGTTGACTCGGTGGCGTTTCTAGAGCTGCTGTCCAGCAGCCTGGATGAAGATGGAGTTTACACCTGTGAAGCTCAGAACGATGCCGGTTGCGTGAGCTGCAGCACCACCCTTACGGTCAAAGGTCAACGTCTTTAATTACTTTGGTGCTTCTGCTTAAAGCCGTCATCTATAACAGCCGGGGGTGGGGGGTGCAGCATGGGGCTAACACTGGCACGTCAGAGACAGAGATGTCTCATTGTAACCCATGCCCCTGTGTTGTGTCTAAATATGTTCTCCTGTTAGCTCTGCTGCATCGTGTGGAGAAGACATCCTCCCATTAACGGGATTAAGAGGCACAATGTGTGACCCCCCCCACCCTCCTCCCACGCGCCACACCATGTGATTTTGTCTGAGAACGATGCCCTAACAGGCCCTTAGTCCCTCACCACCTTTAGGTTAAACTGGTTCCACTGGTTTCCTTTTCATGTTCAAAACCCCACCGGTCAGCTAAAGACCCCCCTAACACACTCACAAGTACAACCATACTGTACCTAACCCTAACCCAGTCCGGGGGTCCGTAACCTGTGACTCTGGAGCCAGCCGGGGCCCCTCGGCCCCTCTGAAGTGTCTCTTTGAACATTTTGAGTGAGCATGTGTTCCTGCAGAGAAACGTCCATCTCAGACCTGTGAGAGCTCAGTTCCTGTTGGGATCGATTCTGATTTTTAACCCATTTTGTAACGATTGACAAACACTTTTTAATGAAAACACGTTTTCCAATATTAGAAATGTCTTCTGATACATGATGTAAAGTTATTTTTCTCACCCTAACCCCCACCCTAACCCTGCTGCTGTTTCAGCCGTCAGCTCTAACCCCCACCACGGTACCTCAGTAACAGTGTCCTGATCTCTTTGTAGAGCCCCCATCGTTTGTCCGAGTGCCCCCGCCTGTGGAGGGGCTGAAGGGTAAGGACGTTAGCTTGTACTGCGAGATGAGCGGTTCCACTCCGTTCCAGGTCACCTGGTTGAAAGACAGGAAGCCACTGATGGAGAGCAGGAAGTATAAGATGCTGAGCGAAGGCAGCTCAGCCACGCTGCATGTCATTGGGATAGAGTCATCAGACGTCGGAGAGTACGAATGCAAAGTGTCAAACGGTGTAGGAAGTGACAGCTGCTGCGCGGTGGTTAAACTCAGAGGTCAGTAGAAACCAGGCGGTCTGTCTGCAGGTCCCTGTGACTCGTTGCTGACTGTCCCATCTGCGCTGTCTGTCCTCTCCTCAGAGCCGCCAGCGTTTGTGGAGAAACTGTCCAACATGACAGTGGTACTGGGAGAGGAGGTGACCCTTAAGGCCACGGTTACAGGCTCTGAACCCATTAGTGTGTCCTGGGTTCAGGACAAGGACCACATACTCAGGGACAGTGACAACAGGAAAATAACCTTTCAGAACAACCAGGTGTCTCTTAAAGTCTTGAGAGCTGATGAGACGTCAGCGGGCAGATACACCTGCCAGCTCAGGAATGATGCTGGGAGTGTGGAGTGTTTCTCTAACCTAACGGTTCTAGGTGTGTAAGCAGATCGTTCTCTCTCTGTCTCTGTGCTCCTCAGACCTTCTCCTACAGGCTTGACTAAACACACCTGCTTCTTCTCTGCTGTTTCTAGAACCGGCTAAGATCGTGGACAAACCCGATGCTCTGAGTGTGACGGCGGGTGACATCGCTGCCCTCGAGGTCAAAGTCTGTGGAACCCCAGAACTCGTCCCCAAGTGGTTCAAAGACGGCGTTGAGCTGGCATCAGGGAGGAAGTACAAAATCTCCTTTTCCAGAATGATCTCCAGCCTAAACGTGGTCTCCACTGAGAAGTTAGACTCTGGAGAGTACACCTTCCAGGTCATGAACAAAGTCGGAGAGGACCTGAGTAAAATCAACCTGACTGTTTTAGGTTGGTGTTCCTTCTGTGATCTGATGATAACGTTTATCTAAGATGCTTTGGTCCTAATCTTGTGAGTGGCATCCCCGTGTGAGCAGAAGAAACAATTCATGATTCTGTTCTTCTCCTAACAGATAAGACCGTTCCTCCCACCTTCACCAGGAAGCTGAAGGACTGTAAGATGGTTGTGGGTGAAGCTGCAGAGATGGAGTGTAAAGTGTCTGGTTCTCCACCCTTTATCATCAGCTGGTATCACGATGGAGAGGAGATCCAGAGCGGGCCCAACCACGAGCTCTCGTTCAGTGACAACACCTGTTTTATCAGGATTCCCACGCTGAAGCTGCTGGACTCTGGAGTTTATAGATGTACCGCCGTCAACAAGGCTGGGTCCAGTGAGACGTCAGCCTCTTTGGATGTTAAAGGTCAGTTTCTACTGATGTTCTCCTGGATCCATAACTTCAGCTTCTGTTCTAATTACACTCAGTTGATTCTTCTGTTCACACTCAGAACCTCCCTCCATCGTGGTGCCACCACAGCCAGTGGAGGCCATGCCCGGCTCTAACGTGACTTTTTCAGCCATAGTAAAGGGCAGCACTCCCCTCAGGCTGAAGTGGTTCAAAGGAACCAAGGAGATCCTCCCGGGAAAGGACTGCAGCTTCTCACTGAAGGAGAACCAAGTCACCCTGGAGCTCCTAAGAGTGAACCGATCTCACGTTGGAGAATACACCTGTCAGGTTATCAATGATGCTGGAAAGGAGAGCTGTGCTGTGAACCTCTCCATCAAAGGTTAGTCTGCGAGGACACCAGATCAGTCTGGTCCAAGAACATTTTTCCCGGTGTTATCCATACAAACTCAGGTGGTACCAGCAGGTTCATGCTGCTGGTGAACAGATCTCCAAGGAGCAGATGGACTATACAGAACATTCAAAGTTGTCTTCTTTAGGGTGCAACAGAGTGGTTTGATACTTAAGTGAGAAGTTTTAACAGGAGAAAGGGGATCCGTGTTTGTGGTACCAGTCAGTACTGGTACCTGTAGCGCCTGATAAAATCTGATAAGGTTGTATCCAGATGTTTAGCAGGTTCACCTGCAAACTAAACAACATCTGTGTCTCTCAGAGCCGGCGGTCTTCTCTAAGAAGCTGAAGGATGTGTCGGTGGAGAAGGGCAAGCCTCTGACTCTGGAGTGTTCCTACTCTGGAACGCCAAAGATCACCGTAAGCTGGTTCAAAGACGGCCAGGAGATCTTTGCCTCCTACAGATACAACATCACCACGACAGAGAGCTCCTGCATCCTGGAGTGTCTCAGCACCGACGACAAGGAGGCTGCAGGGACTTACTGCTGCCAGGTGTCTAATGACGCTGGAAAAGACACGAGTGAGGCCCTTGTGTCCATCCTGGGTGAGTCCAGCTCCAAACCACGCTTTGGACAAAAACTTGTCTGCAGGTCTTCCTTTGATCAGCAGCTGTCCTCTCTTCTACAGAACCTCCATACTTCATAGAGTCTCTGGAGTCTATGGAGGTGACAGCAGGAGACGCTGTGTGTCTAAAGTGTCAGGTGGCTGGAACACCTGAGATCAAGGTGTCCTGGTTCAAGGCTGATGGTAAGGTCCGGTCCAGCCCCACCTGTAAGCTGGAGTACTCTAAGGGCACGGCCTGCCTGAAGCTCAGTAAGGTCACCAAAGTGGACATTGGAGAGTACACCTGCAAAGCTGAGAACCTGATTGGTTCGAACTCGTCCACCTGCAGACTCATCGTGCTGGGTAACACCTGCTTTATGATCTGCTCTCTTTTAATAAAAGTTTTAGTATAAAAGGTGAATGTTCAGCCAGCTGAGCGATGAATCTATTTACAGGTAGACACACTGTATAGTTTCACTGCTCTGGGTCAGAATCTCACTGTTGAATGTTTTCCTCAGATGCCAAAACACCGCCATCCTTCCCCAAGAAGATCACCAGCCTTCAGGCGACCGAGGGCCAGCTGGTCCGGTTTGAGTGCCGCGTTGCTGGCTCTTCGCCCATGGAGGTGTCATGGCTAAAAGATGGCAAGCCACTTACCCAGGGAGGAGACTTCTCCATGCTGTATGACGACAACACGGCTGTGCTGCAGATCAGCCGCGGGGAAATGAAGCATTCAGGAGAATACTCCTGCGTGGCCTCCAACAGCGTGGGCTCAGCCTCCTGCAGAGCCAAGCTCACAATGCAAGGTTTGTGTCTGCCAGGGTCAGAGGTCATCTAAAGGCATGTGTCTGCTCTGTCTTCTCCATCCCCAGTGAGTTGTGGAGGATGGCTGCTTATACTGAGCCAGGATCCTCTGGAGGTTTCTTCCTGTTAAAAGGGGGTTTTCCTCTCCACTGTCGCTGCATGCTTGTGTAGTATCAGGGTTGCTGTAAAGACTCTGACACTAGTCAGTGACTCGATGCAACCTGCCGGGTTCCTTATAGAGGAAACTTTTACTGACCTGAACTCAGTGCTCTGATGAAAAGGTTCAGCTGGAATGTCAGCAGCTTAAGACTTCCTGTTGTCTGGTCTACAGAACCCAGGCACCCCCCAGTGTTCGACAGGAAGTTGTCTCCTTTGGAGGTCACTGTAGGGGACAGCATTGAGCTGGAGTGTCACATGACTGGTTCCGTCCCCATGAAGGTCACATGGTCCAAAGATCATAAAGATATTCGCTCAGGGGGGAATTATAAGCTGAGCTGTGTGGACAGCACCCCCCACCTCACCATCCTGAAGGCTGACAGAGCTGACACAGGAAGATACTTTTGTCACGCCTCCAACGACGTGGGGAAGGACTCGTGTTCCGCTGAAATCACCGTCAGAGGTATTCAAAATACTCCAAGCTTGTTTGTCTGTGTGACCAAATCTCTTCACTGTTTCTATCTTTGATCCCAGAGCGTAAAAACCCTCCAGTGTTCACCAAAAAGCCGTCGGAGCACATCGAGGACTCGGAGGGCAAACTGGTGAAGATCGAGAGCCGACTCACTGGATCCCAGCCCATGTCGGTCAGCTGGTTCAAAGACTGCGAAGAAATCCAAACTTCAGACAAATACGACATCAGCTTTAAAAGTAATGTGGCAGTGCTGTGCATCAAGTGCAGCCATGCATCTGACAGTGGCAGGTACTCCTGCCAGGCCTCGAATGAAGCTGGACAAGCCTCCTGTGAGGTCACTGTAGGAATTCTGGGTGGGTTTGATGCTTGGTTTTAGTCTCCATATGTTTCCCACCCAGATCCCAGAATCCATGACTAAAATCAAGCTGCTTCTCTTCCTTGTAGAAGCCAAGAAGCCTCCTGTGTTTGATGTTCCTCTCAAGCCGCTGAGCATAGAGGAAGGTGACAAGATGAGCCTCAGCTGTCACGTCTGTGGGTCTTCTCCTCTGAAGATCCAGTGGATGAAAGACAGGAGGGAGTTAACATCAGCTGGCAGCACTAGGATCAGCTTCTCCGATGGAATAGCGTGTGTGGAAATCAGTCCAGTTTCCAAACACGATGCTGGGGATTATCTGTGCAAGGCCACCAACGAGGCCGGCAGTGAGTTCTGCAAGGCCAAAGTCAGCGTGAAAGGTACCAGTTCAGGTCTTTATTTTGTCCTACAAACGAGGAGGAAATTCCACTAACACGTTGGATCTAGCCTCCCACAGCCGAGCAATCGACCACACAGCAAGGATGATCCATCTGCTTTCTTAAATCCTTCTTCAAACGTGCAAAATAATCAAAGTATAGGCTAAATACGCAGTTTCAACTACACAATCCCATGATGCAATGTGACAAACATAAACACTGATGTTACAAAAGACCCTCCTGTAAGCAAGAAACTAAAACAGCTACAGACACAGATTAATGATGGATGGCCTACACTTTCATAGCGCCTTTACCCTACAGTTTATCATTCATCCATTCACGCGCTGGTGGTGATGAGCTACATCGTAGCCACAGCTGCTCTGGAGCGCTCTGACAGAGGCGAGGCCTGCACTGGTGCCACCGGTCCCTCCGATCACCACCAGCAGGCAAGGTGGGCTAAGTGTCTTTCCCAAGGACACAACGGCAGCTGGGATCGATCCTACAACATATTAATTACTCCCATGGGTAGTCCCTCAGGGCTCTATCCTGGGTCCACTCCTTTTTGCTATCTACATGCTTCACCTCGAGAAGATTATAGCCAGTCACAGGGTCAACTACCACTTCTATGCAGAAGATTGTCAAATTTACTTAAAACTCAGTCAGCAGCAATCAGTCCCTGCTTTGACAGACTTCCTCTCTGACATCAAAACCTGGCTATCCTCTAACTACCTGTGTTTAAACGACAGCAAGACAGAGGCCATCCTTTATAATCCTACAAACGCCAGTAGTACATCAGCTGTGCAAACCCTACCTGCCCTCAGTCTCCAATCATGTGCCACTAGTTTGAGTATGAAACTAGACCTGTCTATGACTTCTCAAGTCAACGCAACCATCAGGTCGTGCTTTTTCCAGCGTCGCCGGATCACTCGCCTTAAGCCCATTCTCAAACGCCCGCACCTTGAGTCAGTCATCCACGCGTTCATTCCTCCCGTCTAGATTTTGCAAATGCAGTCCTGATTGGGATTAGTGCCTCCGCCTTGGGCAGACTACAGAAGGTTCAAAGTCAAAGTCAAAGTCATTTATTGTCATATTCTCCACATGTGCAGGACATACAGAGAAATGAAATTCAGTTTCAGCACACACAATTCAAAGATCAGACATACGTGGGGAAGACACATAACAAGAATTGGTGACTGCGGTGATTCGCAACATGAGTCGCGCTACCTTAATAGTTAGATGAAAAGGGTGTTACATGAGGAAAGTTCAGGGAGGGAGAAAAAAAGGCATTACAGGGTTACACCAGCAGGGTGTAGCACTCCGATGCAAAAAAAACACCCAACATGGAAGCACAGACAGCACGTATACAACATCAGAGTCCAATGGGGAGGTGGGGGTGGGCGGGATCCTGAAGCCTCCAATGGGAGCTGCCACTGCGGCGCATCGACCAGCTGCAGAACAACAGGTGGGAGGGAGAGATAAGGAACAGAGAGCACATTGAGGTCCCTGCAGACATGTCAGCCTGAAGGAAGAGGGTGAAGGTCGGGACACAGCATCTGTCGGCATTCCTCCTTTTGTGGGGGTGTGTTGAGGCAGCCTTGAGAGGCTGCTATGGCGTCAGATAAGGATAAACATGACTTTGTTTAGGGCAGACAGAGATAATCTTCCTCTCCGCCTTGGAGTCTATAACCGGTCATTCATGTCCACCAGTGAAGCCAATTTTACATTCCACATCCCCGCATCGTCCGGCGACCCTCTCCGAGATCAAATCCATCTTGCGCACTAACACAGGCAACGCCGCAAGGACATTGTCCAGCTTACGGTTCACCTCGAGTAATGTCCCAGTCTGTGAGGTCACCGCACGAGCGGCACATTCCATGGGTACGGGTCGCACTCCAATCGCTCCCGTCTTCCCAAATTTCCAGAAAACCAGATATCCTCCCACTCCAATCAGAAGAAATCCAGTGATCATTACGCCGAATATCCACAAATCTTCCACGTCCTCGATGGACAGCTGAGAGAGGCACACGATTCGCCAGACCTCCCAAGAATCGAGTGCATATCCCGATGCGAATGTCCCCTCGGGACAGATGGGAGCCCCCTTCTCCGTTCTCATCGTAGAGAAAATTTTGTCAATCATGTTGAATGACCAATTAATTAAGTCCATATTTCCAAAAAAGAGTAGTGGTTTCAGGAGAAATGCAGAGAAGTGCTCTGTAGGCAGACAGGACAAGAGCCTTGGGGAAGCCGATAAGGGAGCTGAGAAAAAAGCGTCTGTACTCTCTGAAGGCTGGAGAAGAAAGCTGGTGCTGCCAGATTCTTCACCAACACCAACAGACGCGCACACATTCCTCCCATTCCTGCAGACTCACACTGGCTCCCGGTCAAATTTAGAGTTCAATTCAAAATCCTGCAGTTTGTCTACAAGGCTTTGAACTGCCCTTCACCCTTTTACCCGGATGACCAGCTGCATCTCTACACACCCACGCGTGTCCTTCGTTCAGCTGATCAACTGCTGCTGATCGTTCCAAAGGTTCGTTATAAATCTCGGGGTGAGCGTGCCGTCTCACACGCTGCCCCTCCAAGACCGTCAGGCACCTTCCCTCTGTAGGTTTAAGTCTGCCCTCAAACACACAACCTTATCCTGGCTTTTCCCATGACTGTCTTCATACGTCAGTGTGACGCTTCTCTATTGGTACTCTTTAGCTCACTAACGTTGGTCAGGTAGTTTTGACTTGTTTCTCTTTTATATCTTAGTGCGTTTACTTGTTTTATGGTTAGTTAACTTTTAATGTAATTTTATGCCTTGCTTTATGTTTTTAGCGTTATATTTGAGTCCTATGCTGTCTTTGTTGTTGTGTGTGAGTCTTTGGCTCTCCTGTGCAGCACTTTGGTTAGCTGCATGCTATTTTAAATGTGTTTTATAAATAAACGAGTACGGCATGGACAACCCGCTCTGCCCCCTACAGAATAAAACCTGAATCAAAAGCACCCTGTAAGAAGTAAATAAGATAGTAAAATAGGTTAGACCTCCAGAGTTCAGGGGCAGAAACCGGGAGGCGTGGTCTCCCCCAACACCAAGAGACGGTCAGCTGAACGAAGATATCTCATAGGGCCTGTTTTGAAAGCGGAGCTGAGATGAATGCAGGTGCTGTCCCGGTGAGAGCCTTGTAGACCTGAACAAAGATCTTGTCATGGATCCAAAGCTCCACAGGAAACCAGCGCAGAGACCAGGATAGGAGAGATATGTTCCCATCTCTTTAGTGCAGATCCAATGCCTAACCCCCCATGCACACATACTCGTACTGCTGCTGACTCGTTTAACCGTTTTATTGTGAAGGGAAAGCTGCTTTCATGCTTCTCTTTGGTGTTTCAGAGAAACCAGGAGCAGCTCTGGCTCTTGCTGAAGTCCCAGCAACAACTCCAACCAAAAAACTGGACCAGCTGTTCTTTATTGAGGAACCCAAATCAGCATACGTCACAGAGAGTAAGACTTAGCTTGGAGACAAAGTCCAAGTCCTCTGTAGTTGTGCTCTAACTCCTTCTGTGGCTCCACAGAGGGAACTGCCATCTTTATCGCTAAGGTGGGTGGAGACCCCATACCCAGTGTCAAGTGGATGAAGGGAAAATGGAGGCAGCTGACACACGGTGGACGCATCTCCATCGAGCAGAAGGGTCAGGAGGCCAAGCTGGAGATCAGAGAAGTGACCAAGTCTGACTCGGGTCAGTACAGATGTGTGGCCTCCAACCGGCATGGAGAGATTGAGGTCAGCGCTGAGGCGCACGTAGACGAAAGGAAGGCGGCAGCGCAGCTGGACGGAGACCTCCGAGCGAAACTCAAAAAGTGAGTCTGTCTGCTAGCTCACCGATGATCCTCAGCTGGAGGTTTTTAATCATCTCATCTTCTTCTCAGAACGCCATCAAAGCAAAGGAGTCCACAGGAAGAGAAGGACATCAATATTGTGGAGCTACTGAGGAACGTAGACCCCAAAGAATACGAGAAATATGCCCGAATGTACGGCATCACCGATTACAGAGGTCTGCTGCAGGCCATCGAGCAGCTGAAGAAGGAACGGGTGGAGGAAGGTGGACGATCGGTGAGGTTCCTGCCACCTGCTGAGGTTCTCTGTGGTTCTGTAAACTGTGTGTTCGTCCGCTGTAACACTGCTGTTGTTGACAGGAAGTGGAACGTGGAGACAGAGAGACTGATGAGGACATGACTCGTCTGGTAGCCGACCTGCAGAAGAGGATGGAGAGGACAGAGGTCAGACTGATGAAAACTTTAGACAGTGAGGACCTGTGGTCCCCGTTCCTGAAGGTCTAGACGCAGATCCGTTTGGGCCCTGAGGGTCTCAGACGAGCCAGAGTCCAGCCAGAATCCCTCTGTGGTGCTGAACTCTGGACTCCACTGGTCCCCTGTGATAACAAAACCTTGTTAATCATCAGTTTCTGTCAGTAACCAAGACTTGGTTCCTTCCATAGCCTGTCACCGTGGTGAAGGACATCTCCAACCAGTCGGTCTTCACCAACAAGGAGGCTGTGTTCGAGTGCCAGATCAAGATCAACTACCCAGAGATCACCTTGTCCTGGTACAAGGGCACGCAGAAGCTGGACACCGGAGACAAGTATGACATCAGCATCGTCGGCGACCGCCACCTGCTCCGGATCAGGGCGTGTCAACAGACCGACCAGGGGAACTACCGGGTAGTGTGTGGTCCACACATCTCCAGCGCCAAGCTCACCGTCACAGGTGGGACCTGTAGAACACCTGGCTGTAATGAGTTCTGGATTAAAGGGGTTAATCCAGTTTCTCTGTGTTGCAGAGTTGGAGGTGGAGAAGCACCTGCAGGACACGTCGGGTAAGGAGGGCCAGTCGTGCACGCTGTCCTGTCAGTTATCTGTTCCCAACGTAGAGGCTCAGTGGTTTAGAAACGGCCTGCAGTTAGAGATGAAGGGCAGGTACTCGTCTGAGGTTAAGCACAAGGTTCAGAAGCTTCTAATCCGAGACCTGAAGCCTGAAGACCATGGCAGATACTCCTGCAAGTACCAGCACCTGGAGTCGTCAGCGGACCTTCGGGTGGAAGGTTTGTGCCTGGAGACCATCCTGATGATGATCACTAACCTCTTTAAGCTCTTGGAGTTTCCTTCTTCCACTTCTGTCTTAACATGTTACACAATCACCTCCGCTTTTTTTTCTTTGTTCCATCTTTCCCCACATCTGTAATGGTTGCTTCTAACCACGTGGACATCACCTTGATGGGAAACTGATCGCTGTGATGTTTCTGTTTTAGCTGAACAAATTCATTTCACCAAACGCATCCACAACATCGAGGTGAACGAGCGTCAGTCAGCCACCTTCGAGTGTGAGGTTTCTTTTGACAACGCCATCGTTTCTTGGTACAAAGACACCTGGGAACTGAAGGAAAGCACTAAGTACAACTTCACAAGCGAAGGCCGAAGACACTTCATGGTGATCAGAAACGTGTCCATCGAAGATGAAGGTGTGTCTCTGAGCCCCAGAGGGTCTCAGCCCTGTAGGTTCAGCTTCGGTGTTGTCTGTGACCTGAGTGTTGGTTGCTAATCCCTTGTAGGCGTGTACTCGGTCATGGTGAGGCTGGTGCCCCGAGGAGAGGCTAAGAGCACAGCTGAGCTTTATTTATCTGCTAAAGGTACCCGTCTCACCTTTGCTGCTTCTTTTCTTCCCGCCGAGTTTCTGTTTCACACAAACTTCCTTCTATTCACAGAGATCCAGCTGGCCATGGTCCCATCGGGTGAGTGTCCAGAACCAAGAGGGAGTTGTCTGGGTCTCCTCCTGTGGTCCAGCTAGTTCTACTGTCTCTGATGAGACAGATGATTTATTAGTCCTCAGCTGACCTCGTAACCATAACCCAGTCCACAGTAAAGAACTCAGAAACCCCACAGAACCGATAAGAACTGTCATCGTGTTCATGAAACGCGGTGGCTGGAACAGTTTAGTGAATTTTAGATCCGATAGAGGAGCTGAAATGTTCTCCTGAAGGTCTCAGATCCAGACTGGTTTCTCCTGTGGACCAGCTGGAGACACAGAGGAGTTCCCAAACAGTCTCACAAAGATCCGTCCAGATTCCTGCGGTTCCTCCAGGGCCCTCTGATGGCCAGACTGCTTCCGTATCTTAAAGAATATTCCATGTTCCTTAGATTTCCCAGACTCCTCTGTTCCGAGGCCTGAAGTTCCTTCATCAGTGGCAGTGCAAGGTAGGTATTCCTAACCCTCTTTCAAGAATCATCTGAGCTCTTCCAGTATGAGGAAACGATGGAACGGGGAGCCACTTCCTGTTTCTATAGCAACGTTCTCCAACAGAACTTAACCAGCATCTCTGATGGTTCTGATGGACCAGAACGTTAACGGTTCTCTAGTTTTAATGCCGTGAACTCTGAATGTTTGTGTTTCTTCTACAAGAATCTGCTGAATATTCCCGTCAGTATGAAGAAGAAGAGCAGAAAGGTATGGGGTTCCTCCTCTTCATCACCATCAGCAGGTTCTGTCCTCACTAGCTAAAGAACAGCTGATGTTCTAGGATTTCATCTGTTCTTTAAACATTTCCACTCTCTGGCCTCTTCTGCCATGTTTGAACATTTCTCCAACTCGGTTCCCTCACGGTTGTTTTGTCCTCTCTGTTGTCAGTCGAGTATCAGAGCTGGACGGAGGAGACGACAACGTGGCAGGTCACGGAGAGCCGAGGTATCCTCCAGCGTCTGTCTTCCTCTCTTCACTAACCTCTTTCTACACCTCAGAGCTGCTCTGAGACCAGCTCTAGTCAGCTTCTTCAGCTTTAGCTCCAGCTCTGCTAGAGATGAAGGGTTCTGCTCAGGTAGACCCGTTCTGTTTTCACGTTCTGATGCTTCTGCTTTGTTTTCTCCTTCAGCTACCTGCGTCGCTGTGGAGGAGGAGGTAGAGAACGTGGTGGCAGAAATGAGGGAGGAGATCCCAGCTCCAGGTAAGCTAGAACCCCTTCATATCGGTTCTGTTGAAGGTTCTGCCGATTAGCAACTGCTGTTAAATGCACGTGAAAAATAACAAGTGGTATTATTTTGATTGCTATTTGGAATTTCCATGGCAACATCATTCCAAAAAGACAGTGCTTGTAGGAAACAACAGCAAGTGCCCGGAATGTTCCTGAGGCTTCGTCTAAAGAGGTCCTTCACTGACAGTCAGTGCTAGAGTTGTGTTGCTGTCAGCCAATCAGAGGAGAGATGACCAAATATCAGGAAATGAGAGTCCAGATCCCACCGTCTGTAGCTCAGCTCTGATGCGACTCACTTCTAGTTCCTGAACAGGTGTACCGGAGCTTTCTTTATTTGTAGAGCGCTTCTAACACGGCACTACAACTGACCAAAGTGCTGCACAGTAATAGAGAACAAGTGAGCACCACTCAAAGTATGGAGCAGTTTAAGTCAAAACTAAAAACATATTTATTTGACTTGGCTTTTGGTGATAGTTGAGTTGTGTTCTCTTTGATCTGGTTGTAGTTTTATTGTTTGTTTCTTGTTGTTTACGCTCATCCTTTTATTTAGAGTTGTTATCATATACTTAATGTTTATTATGTTCTACTGGAGCATGTTTGACTTCATGGCACTGAGCAACAGTAAAGGTGCTATGTAAATAAAGTTGACCTCATGGTCTCTCTCAGCAGCTGAGCGCCATGCAGCTGCACCTTCCTGCTCTCATGTAGTCGCTGTTTATGCTTTTTTTACTATTTTCATTGATAATTATGGGTTCATTTTTGGACAGGCCAATGCTGTTGAATGGCTGATACCCATCATCTGTGAAATGAGACGTTAAATGTCTTGTGAAGGTTCTCAGTCATCCAGGTCATTGTAGTCTAATGAGCTTTGAAAGAAAAGCGTCTGGACTTCTTTGAGTTGCTTGAAGACGTTTCACCTCTCATCCGAGAGGCTTCTTCAGTTCTAAGGTCAAATGGTGGAGAGTCCCAGATTTAAACCCAGTGGGAGTTTCCCCCCGAGGAGGGAACAAAAGACCCCCTGATGATCTTCTACATAAACACATTGAGGGTGGGTGTGGGTCCTATTCAGCCAGAGTTTCGGGTGAGCTCATTGTGAAACCTGGCCCCACCCTATCATGTGAATTCCTGAGGTCAGATGGCCCAGGATATGCATGGGCGTTGAGGCATCTGGGAAGGGATCTCAAAACTGGATTATAGATGGCAGACAGTTGGTGTCGTAAACCACCGCCTTTGTTCAATGATGGTTGCTTACAGTGGACATAAATGGCTTCCTTTACTCCTCTTTCAAACCATCTGTCCTCTCTTTCCAAAATGTGAACGTTGGCATCCTCGAAAGAGTGACCTTTGTCCTTTAGATGCAAATGAACTGCTGAGTTCTGTCCCGTGGAGGTGGCTCTTCTATGTTGTGTTATGCGCTTGTGAAGTGGCTGTTTGGCTTCTCCGATGTAGAGGTCTGGGCATTCCTTGCATTCTCAGGTGAAACGTCTTCAAGCAACTCAAAGAAGTCCAGACGCTTTTCTTTCAAAGCTCATTAGGGACGTTAAATGTTTCCACTTAGCACCTGTAATGTGCTCACATACCACTAGGGGCATGTGAGTTGCTGGCCTACGCCACCCCCACCCACTTCTGGCCCACAGGTCCCCCACTGTCAACAGGAGGAGCAATGAGAGTCTATGAGCCGTGGATTTCACGTATGATGTCCATGAATTTAAAAACAAATAACTCACCTTCTGCTCTAAACCAGGGGGGAAATGGAGCTCTGTGATTGGCCATGAGCTACAGATGTGTCAGGTTGCATCAGTGAGCATCACACAGTTGTGATTACCATGGCAACCCAAAAGAACTTGATTCTTCTCTTATGAATAATAGACGGTGTGATTATGCGTCAGAACCAGGGCGGTGCATTTAGTCGGTCCCACCGACCTGCTGCTGCAGGACCTTCAGGATATTCTCCATGATGCTAATGTAGCTGATTTCTTTCATCCCAAAGCAGAGAAAACTCCTAAAGAGAAGCCAGCAGCAGCTGTGGTGGAACCAACACCACAGAAAGGTACTGACCCGCTCCATTAGCTTTCATCTTTTGGAACAACTTATTTTAATGATTCCTTTTTTTTCTGAATCACTGAAGAACTGGAGCTCAGTAAGCCGGTGGAAGAGCAGGTTCACGTAGTTTCAGTCCCAGAGAAGAAGAAAGCTGCAGCTGTCAAAGGTACCGTGATCCTGTCTGTCTCAGCCTACTGGGTTCTCGTGCATCTGTGTGCTTTAACCCTTTTGTTTTCTTTAAAGAACCAGAGATGGAGAAGCCACCCATCGGTTCCTCACTGTTTGCTGAGAAGTTCGATCTGCCAAGCAAAGGTCTGTTTCCTCCTCATCTTCAGCTTCTGCCTTCAGTCTTTGTCTTTGTTTGTTCAGATGCTAACATCTTCTAATGTCTGTCTTATGTTTATGAAGTTGAACCAAAACCTCAGGTTCCAGTAGAACCAGAACCAAAGTCTAAACCTGCTGCACCTCCCAAAGTAGAAGCTGAAGTCACTCCAGTGGTGCCTCCATCCAAAGGTACTTCTGACCTTGGTTTTCAGGATTCTTGAATTCTGATGGTTTTAGCTTCAAGTGTTGAAGCGAATCTTCAGCTTTCTGTTTGTGTTTAATCTGAAACCTTCTGAATGTTACTTTAAGCTCCTAAAGAGCCCGCAAAGACCAAACCAGAACCACCAGCCCCAAAACCAGAAGCTCCAAAACCAGAAGCTCCAAAACCAGAAGCTCCAAAACCAGAAGCTCCAAAACCAGAAGCTCCAAAACCAGAAGCTCTAAAACCAGAAGCTCTAAAACCAGAAGCTCTAAAACCAGAAGCTCTAAAACCAGAAGCTCTAAAACCAGAAGCTCCAAAACCAGAAGCTCCAAAACCAGAAGCTCCAAAACCAGAAGCTCTAAAACCAGAAGCTCCTAAACTAAAGCCAGAAATAGAGAAACCAAAACTAGAAGTCTGTAAATCTGTCTCGAAGCCCGAACCTCTCATCTCTAAACCAGAACCAGCACCAGTGCCAAAGAAGTCTGAGATAAAAGGTACCGAACATCTATGTCTGGAGTCTAACTTCCTCTTCTTACCTCCATCATCTGTCTCTTAACTTTCCTCCAGGTCTCTTTGCGCTTTTTATTGTTTCAATGTTTCTTCCAACAAGCTGCTGGATAATAACCTTTGTGTGTGTGTTTGTGCAACTCTTCTAATGAACGATGGAAGCAGCAGCTGGATCAGCTGATCGTGTTTGCTGATAGAAATGATCTCACAATAATTATCACCATGTGTGTCTTCCAAGCTCCAGACGACCTGAAGAAGGGGACTGCTCCACCTCCTTCAGTCCCTCACAAAGAAGCAGAAGAAGCACAGAAGAAACCTGTTAAAGGTACCAGACCACCCCCCAACACACACACACACACACACACACACACACACACACACACACACACACACACACACACACACACACACACACACACACCACTTCCTCGGCTTCCCTGTTTCTACTGTCTAAAACATCTGTATCATGTCCATTACTTATGGTCAGACAACATTTCTAACATCAGACGTCCAACATCGGTCCCTGCTGCCTGTGATGCTGGTCCTCGTGTGACTCGGTTAAATGTTATTTGTAGTCTTCAACCTGAATCTGATGTTTCTGATTCTCTTAAGTTCTTGTGGAAGAAAACATCCCAGAAGCTCTACAAGCAGAACTTCTTCCCGTTCCTTCCAAAGCAGACCCAAGTCAGAGAGAAAAAGGTACGTTAAAGTTTCCGCTGTAGGATGACTCGTTTGATTTCGGACTGATTCCTGAAGGGACAGTTCTGTACAACTTACACAGACTGGTCCAAAAGGTTCTTGGTTTTGTTTTTACAATGAATGATCTTCATTTCTGATCACTCCAACCACCAGACCTCTGGGTGTCCTTGTGAGTTAGAGAGAACAGAAGCTCTACTACTTCATGTGTACGTGTGCATCAGCACGCTCTGTCATGTAGTCACGTCTACTGCATGCTTTTGTGTCAAACCTCTTAAAGATCTGAAACAGAAACTTCAGGAGTTTCCTGAAAAAGTGCCTCACAAGTTGCCCAATGAGGTGGTCGCACTGAAGACCAAACCTGGAAAAGTACCTGTCAGACCTCCAGAGAAGCCTGACATGAAGAAGAAAGCTCCAGAGAAGGTCCTGACGCCAGAGAAAAAAATGGAGGACATCTCAAAGATAGTCACTGAAACTGTTGTAGAGCAACCTCCTGAAACAATTCATGAGAGGGCTCCTCTTGAGAAGACAGCTACAGAAGTTCCCCACCGAAGATGGCTGGGAAGAAGGTCATGATGGAGAAGAAGCCACCTGAGAAGCTGAAAGCCGCAGGAGCGACTTCTACAGGTACCTCCTCCACTTATATCTTCACCAAGCTGGCAGCATGTGGTCCATTACACATACTGTCAGAACCCCAGTGGTCTCAGATGAGCCATCAGAACCAGAGCATGGAGGTCTACAGAAGCTGAACTGTTTCAGAACATCTTCTGTTCCACTTCTTGTTCCTGGTGTTTCTGGGTGTCTTCTGGGCCTTTTGTGTGTGTTTGTTGTCAGAACGGTCTCCTATAATAATCTTCATGCTCAACAAATTGGATTAAAACAATTATTAATTTATTGAACCAAACAGAAGTTAAGAAGATTGAGGAGATTCAGAAAGAGGAGAAAAAGCCATCTATTCCTGCAGAAGGTAACCAACACATGATTTAAACATGAGCTCCTGATGATGATCTACACCAGCTGGATTATCATCAGCACATTAATCCAACTAACGCTGATGTTTGTCTTTGTGTCTCTCTTCTCACCTCTTAATGCCAATTCGACTCAAAAATCAGAGTCGGTTCTTTTGGAGGTGATGATGGAAGGAGCTTCAAGGAAACAGAATGAGTTTTCAGTTCCTGAGAGTGTTCCTCCCTCTGAGGGGGTGGAGGAACACCAGGATGACCTAGCAGAACAGGAACCATGGTCTGAAGTCAGAGGAGAGACATCAGTGACTGACTCTTCCATCAGGACAGAAACCAGAGCCATCAAACACAGAGTCGGCTCCAAACCATCCCAACAATCAAAGGAGCCGCCGACGCCGCAGGAGAAACCCGTTAGAGGAAAACCTGATGAGCTTTTGGTCCGAAAAGTAGAATTAAAGGACATTTCAGAGGAGAGGAAAGACAGGACGGTGGTGAAGCTTCTTCCAGAGAAAACCAGCAGAGAAACGGTTTTGCTTTCAGAGGTAGCTTTAGTCCAAGAGCAGTCATCAGACGCAGTGAGAGGTCAGACCGAGGGAGGATTACAGAGCTTCAGTCAGGAATCTGTAGATGAATCAGTTCCTCTGAAAAGAACAACCTTCAGAGCAGAAACCAGATCCACGTCAGGAGAAACCAGTCAGTGGAAGATCAGAGAGGAACCTAAAACTCTAATCTCCGACTCTGTTAGCGAGCCAGAACCGAAACCAGATAGAAGGAAGCATCAGGAGGTTTCTGAAGCAGCTGAAGACTCAGTAACAGATGTCCCAGTCAGGGGGTCCAGAGGCTTTCAGCTGGAGTCTGGAGATGTTGCTTCTGCCAGAGCAGGAAAGGAACAGGATGAAGGTCTGACCCGGGATCAGCTTCAACCTCTGAAACCAGAGGAGAGCAAAGCAGCAGCCAGAGGTAAAATATTTATTGGGGTCACCCAGGGTCACGGGTTCATCTTTTTTCAGACGTGTGGCCCAGTCTTTCTTTGTGCTCTTTTTTCCATGAACATGAATATTTTTGTTCTTTTAAGAAATGCAGAAGCTTCCCATCACAGCTGCTGCTGAGACTAGAGGAAGCAGACCAGATGGAGGTACAGAACCAGAACCTCTTCTATCCTCTGAAGCCATCTCCTGTCTGCTAACACCATGTTGTATCTGTGTTGTCTCTAATCTCTTGGCACCGCCTCATGGTGCGTCCTCTTCCAACCTTTTACATTCTCCACCTTTAAGGCTGTGCTGAAAAAGACCAGGAAACAGAGGAGACCCAACCCAAAACTTTTAAGCCTGTCTCACAAGGCCCGGTTCAAAGACCGGACCTTCAGGACTCTGTTACTGAAGGCTCAAAGAGGGGGCGCTCTGACAGGAGATCTGAAACTAAAACTAGAGTCAGGCCCGGTTCTGATCTAAAACACGAAACTAAAGCAACACAAGGAAAAGACCAGGCACACGAACCAGAACCATCTCTTAGTAGAACAGGTTTCTCCTTAAAAACCGACATATGGAGATCAGAAATGTATCCACCGGGTCAGGACGAGAAAAGATCAGAAACAACAACAAATCTGGAAAATCATTCTTATGAGTTTATTAAAACAGCTGATAGATGTTCCTCTGAAGCTGCTGGAGGTCAAAGTAAAGAGCCAGAAGAGTTTACTGGTGGAGTTAGGACCAGGATGATAGAGAGAGTGCAACCAGGGGGTGAAAACCAGGTTGTCCGCCCTCAAAAACATGTTTCAGCAGCTGCAAAACATAAACCCCAAAAACTAAATCAGGTCAGTGTTTTAGAGAGGGTTCCTCAGCAGGAACCTTCTCAGACTGGAAGTCAATTTAAACAAGCTGCAGAAATCTCTCCAGAATCCGGTAGAGTTCAGATTAAAGCTCAGAAAATGTCTCAGATCAAAGAAAAGCCTGAAAAACTCTGCAGGTTTGTGGAGGTTAGCACCTCAGAAGATCCAAACCAGAACACTAGACAGGCTAAAGAGGCCCATCACACCGATGAAGCGATCAAATCAGAAACCATAACAAGTGTTCAGAAAACTCCTGCTGAGGATGAGGAGCGTGTTGACGATGACGTTAGACCCAGAGAAAACAGTCTAGATGTTTCACTTCAAAAACTCAAACGATCTTCAGAGTTTGTATCAAAGGAGAAAGTGGTGGATAGAGAAACATCTGACCCACCTCCAGCTGAGCCCAAGCACCCAAAGGTTCATGCAGATTCAAGCTTAAAGGTTTCTCATTTAAAAGGAAGCAAAACCAAACAGACACAGGCTGAGCTAAAAGCTGCGCCCACAGGCATGAAAGAGGAAACTCCTTCAGATGTTCCTCATGCAGAATGGCCAAAAATCAGTCCAGAGTTTTCAGATGACAGGAGACAAAAGATGGTTCCAACTAAAGCTGATCTGGACAAACAAGCTTTGTTAAAAACAGTTTTATTTCAGGATGAATCAGTAACAGCTGAGAAGGATTCATCAGCTGATGATCAAACAAGAATAGCAGAGAAGACCCGAGGAGCTCAGCTGTTGATGGTGGAACAAGATCAGATTAGCATCAGCGCAACTAGAGATAACTTAAGACATTCTTCTGAGAAGAAGATAAGACCTGCTCAGGAACAAGCAGAAGTTCAATGTTCTCCTGAACCCACTAAAGAATCAGCAGCGTTTGGAGTCGAGATCCGTGAAACAGGTGTCACCGTGGAGGGTTTAACTTCTCTGAACGACGACATTAGAGACACTGCAAAAAACATGGAATCAAAAACCATCAGAGGTAAAGATAAAACTCAGAAAGTGACTCCTGCTGAAGACAAGGAGCATAATGAAGATAAAGATTCAGGTTCATCCATGAAGAAGAAACCAGAGTTTCTCAGACCCAGCGATGAAACTCTAAAAGACAGAAGAGCAGCACCTCCAGAAAAACAATATCAAATTAAAGTTTCTGATATTTATCATTTGATGGACAACCAAGCTCAGGAACACCTTCAGAGGAGCTGTGAGGTGTCTCTGCCTGAAGGCAGAACCTCAGAGGACCTACAGAGCTTACCACAGACTGGAAATCTAACAGGAGAGCTTCAGTTCTTTCTAGTCCCGGTTCCTGATCAAGAACCACACATAATTCCAGCAGAAACCAAACAAGAACCAGATAAATTAAAAAGTTTTGCTGATCCAAAGGAAAATAGGACTGAAGAAGAACTAGGTCCACATCAAACAGATAAACATCCCAGTTTTACTCCATTTGAGGCAACAACAATCTCTGCTGAAGAACAGAACAAATGCCAACATCCAGATCCCCCACAAGAGGTTAGATCTTCTGGTGATAAGCATAGAGACAGGAAACAGGCTGCAGGTAAATATTTCAGACAGAACCAGGCTCAGACAGAACCAAGAACCCAAAAAACATTAAAACAAGCCAAAGGAAAATGTCCAAAAGAAGGTGGTCTCACTTGGAAAAAGATTTCCTCAGATTGGGATGAAGCAGAAGAAGACAAAGAGACAAGCGACGTCAGTCAGACACGAGTAGGACCAGAACCAGCAGAAGTTACATCTGAGGTCAACATAAAATACACGACTTTTGATGAACTTTCACCTAATGAAACCCAGAAAATGATCCTAGGCAACAGAGTTAAAGAAACTAAAGTTGAAACTGAGAAATTCTCATCTCTGGTGTCTACAGGGCTAGAAGAAGAGAAGGTTACAGTTACACCCCTGTTGGACAATGCACCGACTATGGAGATCCAAACCAAAGCAGATAAATATGTATTTATTGAGACACCACAAAGAAGAGCATCTCCAGATGCTCGTGGAATACTAAACATCCAACAAGTTACAACTAAACCCATCCAGAACATCTGGTCTGCAGAGAAACCAGAGAAAACTCATCTTAGCAGAAAGACTTCAGGATCAACTAAGGAACTAACGCATCCTGTTAATGTGACACAAGATGTTAGTTTAATAGTCCAAACCAAATGTCCTCCAACTGGAGACACAAAAGTAACCCAGGAAATCCA